TAGAAACATACAGCCGTATTTCAATCTAACTGTATACTTCCTTATGTTTATCCAGTTCATCATATAATTTAATCTTCCAACATACTTTCATATTTACACTCTTTAATTGGTATCAGTATATAACTTCAGCAATACACATTCTTATGTTATTCAGTCAAATCATTAATAACCATTTACGCTCACAACTTTCATACGTCTTTCATCGTTCACTCACGTAATTACACGACACAACTATTTATGCATACAAAACTTGTGTGTCAGTTCACGAAATCTTCTCAAGAATGAGTAAGGTATTATCAGGAAACGAGACAAATATACGATCTTCGGAAAGATTCGGTAAAGAACGGCCTTATCTGTGACGTTGTAAGAGGATAAGTACAGCGACCGAAAGTGTATAAGTAACATATATATTAAAATATTCACGTAGACTGCTAAACGGTTACGTATATATATATTAAAACGTTCACATAGACTGCTAAACTGTTACATATATATTAAAACGTTCACATAGACTGCTAAATTGTTACGTATATATTAAAACATACACGTAGACTGCTAAACTGTTACATATATATTAAAACATTCACGTAGAGTGCTAAACTGTTACATATATATAACACATTCACGTAGACTGCTAAACTGTTACATATATATTAAAACGTTCACGTAGACTGCTAAACTGTTACATATATATTAAAACGTTCACGTAGACTGCTAAACTGTTACATATATATTAAAATATTCACGTAGACTGCTAAACTGTTACGTATATATTAAAACATTCACGTAAACTGCTAAACTGTTACATATATATTAAAACGTTCACGTAGACTGCTAAACTGTTACATATATATTAAAACGTTCACGTAGACTGCTAAACTGTTACATATATATTAAAACGTTCACACAGACCGCTAAACTGTTACGTATATATCAAAACATTCACTAGACTGCTAAACTGTTACATATATATTATTGGTCATATATATATATATGATTGGTGAGATAACTGTATTTTTAACCAATCCTATAGTAATAGCAATAGGGTCGGACAGTTCACATGACTTAGTGACGCTTCGTGATTGGTGAAGATACATGAAGTAGTGACATTATTCCTATTTCATGATTGGTGAGGATAAGCAATGTATTTGTCTTATTATAATTTCTTCTGGAGTTTAGAGAAATGTTTCTTTAGAAAGAAATCATTAATTTCATGAAATAGATCGATCAGATACCCCCTTATGTAATAAAAATATCACGTTAAATTTTTTTGTACAGAATTTACACTTCGAGTTTTAAAACTCAAGAACCTAAAACATATTATTAATATCACAAATAAAAACAGGTTAAACGTAGATAAAGAAATCAGATTTTCATTACTTAAAAATTTGGAGCATAATTGTTGTTTTAGTTTAAAATAATGTAATTGAAAACCAATTCAGTTGTAGATTAACATGGAAGTTACTGTACAGCGATTTAGTGACTTACTTAAGTACAAACGTTTGTCAATTCTTGAGTTCATTAAAACATTATTTTACTATTGGTGCGTCAAAGATAGTAAACAATTATTTCAAGCATAATTGTTTAAACAAATTTTGGTTTCAATAAAACATTATTTTACTATTGGTGCGTCAAAGATAGTAAACAATTATTTCAAGCGTATTTTTAAAAACAAATTTTGGTTTCAATAAAACATTATTTTACTATTGGTGCGTCAAAGATAGTAAACAATTATTTCAAGCGTATTTTTAAAAACAAATTTTGGTTTCAATAAAACATTATGTTACTATTGGTGCGTCAAAGATAGTAAACAATTATTTCAAGCGTAGTTGTTTAAACAAATTTTGGTTTCATTAAAACATTATTTTACTATTGGTGCGTCAAAGATAGTAAACAATTATTTCAAGCGTAATTGTTTATCAATTCTTGTTAAAAAAGCAGAATGTAAAACGCCTATGCGTAATTTTGGTATCATACATTAAAAAAACGTGCATTTCTCAATATTCATTTCAAATAAAAAACAAAAGAAAGAAACATTTTAAATGTAATTGATTCAAAGAAATGACTAATGTTGAGTTGTAATATTAGTTCTTTGTATATTTTTACTTTTCAAAGACACCGAATATTAATTCGGAAACTGCACCTGCATGGGTCTTGATAAATGAGGAACACATGTACACTAGACTTCACTTATCAGTGAACGTTTCCGATACATGGTCAAATTGTAACCTAGCAACTGTGTGGGATTTCATATTGATCTTCTGTCAAATAAACAAGAGCCATGAAGGAGAAGGCTTAATGCAGTGGGCGATATATTACAAGCAAATAAAATAACTCTCGAGGTTTAACGATACACTGAGGTTTTTTTTTTATCTATCAATCTGTACGCTTCTCTTTCTCTGTCTGCTCGATTTTACCTCACACAATTGATCAATTTACTTCTCTGTCTGTTTATCTAGCTATTTTTTCATCTGTCTATCTAGCAATCTTTAAATTCTTATTGATCAGTTACTATTTCTCTATTTTCCATTTCTGATTGCGTTTATTTTGCTCGTTCTACGTATAAAGCCTCATGGGGCTTAACAACAATTCTCAAAAACCTATTTTTAAAATGAGAAACAAACGAACAAAAAATATACAATATCAACAAAAAATTCTGACGTTCAAATGTTTATCTTACAGCACTTTACTTAACTTCGGGAGATTCGAATAAAGCACTTTAACAAGTTATGTTTATCAGTTGTTGTTTTCAGTCAGAAAGTAACAACATTTGAGGCTGATTACTCGAACTATGGCTATTCTAGAAATATTTCTATGCTCACTACATTGTCGGACAACGTGATGGGTCTAAAACTACACCAGATGTTGCAGTCTTTACTAAAGAGGAAGAAAATTATTGAACAGTGTTCTTACCTGCCTCTCGTCGTTCACTGTTTTTATCGACAATTAATGGAGTTGAAAACAGCACCGTAAGTATTCCAGCGTAGAATCAAAACCAGAAGAATAGATGAACATAGAAAAAAAAGGAGCAAAAGCACGAGGCATTAACCCTTACACAAATATATTTAAAAAGATTATCTTCATATCACGGCTAATGTAAACAAAAAAAGAAAGAGACATACTAGTGTTTCCTAATATTTCAAATTAAATACCAGATAATTCCGTAAGATTCAATATTTATTTGTCCATTAAAGATAAGTAAGAGTTTGTCCAACTAGCAACAGAGCAGATAAGATTGTGTCAATAATCTGCAATTAATCATCCCATTTACACGATCTAATTTGCAATTAACTGTTTTACTTACAAAGATACTTGTCTAAAGTTAATTACAGCTGGAGTAGTAAGAAGAAGTACAAAGCTCGCTGGTCTAATAATTATCTTAATTTGGTAGTATGTTTTCGTTAAACTTTTCAACTCTAAAAAAAAAAAAAAAAAGGATCAAATTTGCTTAATCAACATCTGGATAACACAGAACTTCGTAGATGGATTTTTATACTTTTGTCAGCCTTAAGTTGTATCTAGTTTCTTTCAAAGAACAATGATTTGTTTTCTGGTTTGTTTTTAAGCACGCAAAACTACTCTGCGAGGAATTGAATCCTAGATTTTAGCGTTGTAAGCCCTCAAATTTAGCACTGACCTGTTAGGGAAGAAAAGTATGGTATAAAATATAACGTATCTTGGTTTATTTGTTTGAGGTTAAGCACAAAGCTACACAATAGGCTATCTGTGCTATGCCCACCGCAAGTATCGAAACCTGGAGTTTGCAATTATGAAGTTTTTATAGCCAGTACCCAAACGTTTAGAACAGTACATTTATGAATTTTGAAATTACTCCGCTTATATTTAAGTTAGGAAACGCTGATTTGCCAAACAACAAACAATGACAGTTGTTTATTTTAACAACTTTGTTTTTATAGCTAAATCACGCTCTTAATATAACTACATTGCTTACTTAGCATATGCAAAACATGTTAGTATCTTGACAATATGATATTCATTGAATGCATGACTAAATTTACATTTCTATCTATGGAGGTAGTTCTTATACACATAGTGTCAAATTTTATAGGTTATTTATACATCTTTCAGACCCGATTCCTTAACTGTATATAGATATATATTTTGTATTTAAAAAAAAAAAGGAGAGACTATACGGTTTCCTTTCGTTGTTCAGGTACCAGATGTAAAAACTGAATGCATACCATTTTAGCTTAATACTGCCATTTTAATACAAGAAACTACAGCAATGAACTATTATGGACACAATAGGTAATGAAAATGGGTGTGGCATTAATGGCTAATTATGTAAATTCTATAACATTCACTTACACAAAGGGCGCTTGCATTATGTTATTTTAGGGTGTGTCCCTTTCTTCGGCCCTACTTTCACCACCCCCACCTATTCTATAGAATCTCGTGCAAGAGTTAATTGTCCATAAAGCTGTGCTTTTTTTTTTCTTCTCCTTTGTTTTTACTCTGTATGTAGTTCCCTTCTCATTACCGTACAATGATTAACTTATAGTTAGTGTTTAACTGAAGTAAGACTGTTTCTTTGGCCATCAATATCCAATTACGTTTTTTTTTCTCTCTCTCTCTCTCTTTGCACACATACGTGACCTTAAATAATTATTACTTTTTTCGTTTCAAATAATGAGGGCAGCTCGAGTTATCTAGGAAAACGTTGCTTAGATATTGGAAATGGTTTGAATCGTGGATTTTTTTTCTGTAACAGTTTTAAGAACTTTATTAGTATATTTTTTGTCAACTTTCAAAAGCATAGAATTACCATGAACTTTCCTGTATGAATGCTTAAATAGTATTATTTTTCGTTTTTTGTAAGCGGAATAGTTTTCGTATCGATCTTAAGAAACTAGAATTATAGCTGAGTAATAGCTGTTGTCGAAATCACTTTTTTAATTCTTTTAGGGAAACATAATCTCATCTCCAATTAGAAGTTGATTATACAGAAATAAGGCGTTGGGTGTCCATCATTTTGTAGTAGTCTTACTTCACACGAGAGCTTTGGAAATGAGCGCTCAGTCAGAAAAAACATGTATCCCCATCTCTCTATGTATTCTGATTACACAGAAACATGCCGTCAGTCAGAAAAAAAATGTATCCCCATCTCTCTATGTATTCTGATTACACAGAAACATGCCGTCAGTCAGAAAAAAAATGTATCCCCATCTCTCTCCCTATTCTGATTACACAGAACATGCCAAATGTATTTTAGAGTCCCCACTCTTTAGCTTAGTTAGGCCTGGCTTTTATATGTTTGGCTTATGTGAGTGGCACTCATAATAATTGCTTTTGCTGTTGAATTCCAATAAAAAAATCGTCAAAGAATGTTGTCTGTTACATTTAAGAGAAACTACTTGTCATTTAGTCTCTCTCATACACACACACACACATATATATACAGAAGAGAAAGTACTTTTCTAGAAAACGCATACACATATAATAAACAATTTCCTGACAAAGTCTAACTAGTTGTACAAGGCAAAACACAACTCGTTTGATTATGCTATACATCATATTACATTTGAATATAATTATAGAACTGAACTTTGTTGTTCTAGGGACGAAGGAGCTTCTTCGGGCCTTTGACAATGAGTAATTAGACTCTAATCCTCTCTGTTTAATTTTCCATGAAATTTATTCAACAAGGAAGCTCTTGATGAGCTCAACTAGGCGGGTTAGTAGAACAGGCATAATTACGCATTCCATTAATGGTCACTTGAGCTGGATGAAGCGGAGCTCAACTATATCGGTTTTCTTCAAATTTACTTAGTAATCAACGACACTACTCTCTTCTGACAACAATGTTCAGATAAAACAGTAACAATCGTCTTAACGGAACAGGAACTTCCGGACTTTAACTCATTATTTCTTCCTTGCAACAAACAACAATGTTAAAATAAAACTGTAACAATCGTCTGAACAGATCAGGTACTTCCGGACTTTAACTCACTACTCCTTCCTGACAACAAACAACAACGTTAAGATAAAACTGTAACAATCGTCTGAAAGGAGCAGAAAGTTCCGGACTTTGACTCACTACTCCTTCCTTACAACAAACAACAATGCTAAGATAAAAGAGTAACAATAACCTGAACGGAGCAGGAACTTCCGGACTTTGACTCAATACTCCTTCCTTACAACAAACAACAACGTCAAGATAAAACTGTAACAATCGTCTGAATGGAGCAGGAACTTTCGGACTTTAACTCACTACTCCTTCCTTACAACAAACAACAATGCTAAGATAAAAGAGTAACAATAACCTGAACGGAGCAGGAACTTCCGGACTTTAACTCACTAGCCT